CCGACTCTGAAGTTTCGAAATTCTCAGATTCCGAATTCTGAGATTTTCAAGCTCTGAAATTCAGGAATTCAGAAACTTCGTCAAAAAAAAATTGTACCCCCGAATCACAAACGTTGTACCCCTAAATGAAATAAAGTGTACCCCAGAATCATTGGTAGATTGTACCCCCCAATTGTTGTACCCCCGAATTTTTGTACCCACGAATTTTGTACTCCCGAATCACCAATTTTGTACCCCTAAATCAGTTGTACCCCCTTGTACCCCCGAATCATTGTACCCTCCGAATTTTTAGCCAAAAGGATCAGCTCAAACTTGACAGTGCGGGGACCCTTCTGTTACAGGTTTTACACTATTTGCACTTACCAGCAATTCGCTTTCCTCTGGTCAAGAGTCCCGCAGTTTCAAGTGCCGAGCAGTACCATTTTTTCAACTGAAAGATTTTCAACTTAAATATATGTATGTTTCTGATCACTCACGTGGAAGAAAATTGAGCCAAATTCGCTCCACTGCTGGATTGGAGTGCATTTAAACTTCGAGCATCCAAAGCCATTCTTTTTGAAGGCGAAATAAAATGGAACGCTAGAAAAAAGGTTTTGATTAGCTCGAAACTTCTATTCTTACCTATGTCCCTCGATTCCCTGGCTTTCCAGGATGCCCGCCTCGGATCTGCAGGCGTCAGGCAGGACACGCCACATCTCGCTCATTCCACTTCTGGAGACAAACATTTTCATGATCCCCATTTTCTCATTCTCTTCGGGGATCATGAACTGAAAACGAATCATATATTATGTCAAATCTATTTTGAACTCACGTTTACTTCGCGGATGTCCTTCGTTTCCAGCTTGGCTCTTTTGACTGCGTCAGATTCGTCTGTCACGTATATCATGGTGGAGGAGAAACACTTGCCATCCCGACGCTGCAAAAAATTGGTGAATATATACATTTTGATGTCGCTTTTCAAAATATCCAGCTTCTGTATTATGATTCATTTTAAGAAATCATGAATCTTATTCTTTTCTCAGTAATCCTAAATTTCAACATTTCTAACTAACCTCCTTCAAATCGATATTTATCTCCAATAACTGCGCGCCTTCAATGAATCTCCTGTTCCCCCAGAAAGCGTTAGTGCTATCCACCTGTAAGTTAAAACTATTAACACTGAGAAAAAATGTGCGATTTTCTTACATCGAACACTGCCGTGCGAGCGGTCTGATGCGGGGGGTAACAATTGAAGTTGGAGAGCTGGTTGAGTTTGGAATTCTCCATGGCTTAGCAATATCTGAAGATATGATTTTTGGTAAACATGTCCGGAGTGAAAATTGAGAAATATGGAGCGCGAAATGTCAAAAGCGGAAAAAATTATAGTCTTTGAAATACGGAAATTGAGGGAAAAGAAGAAATACGTCAAAATTGAGATTCTTATGAATTTTTATGGTTTCCATGTAAATCAAATCATGTATAATTTTCAAAAGGAAGAAAAATGGAAAGGAGTAAAATGTAAATGATGGGAAATAGAAAATAAATTGATTCTAGAAAGGAAAAAAGTGACTGTTGCAAACGATAAAAATTTTTCAAATTTGGCAAACCGTATCTGCTCTAATAAAAAACTACATACTTTCAGCTTAATTATTCTGGTTCCTATGAGAGTTGTCAAAAATTTGTTAACTGATAAAATGCTGCTCATAATACAAAAATAATTTTATCAGTTGACAGATTTCTGATATCTCTCATAAGAACCGAGATAATCGAGCCCAAAGAGCACGTATAGGGCGTGCTTTTAATAGATCAAATACAGTGATTAAAAACCAAAGGTCTTAAAAGTTTCCGATAGCTCCAAAGAGTGTTACCCCGAGAGAAGCATTTCATTGAAAATTTCTGTTTGGTTTTCATGAATATACCCAGAAAATCTTATTCAGTTTTTTCAAAAAAGTTAATCAATTAAACTTTTGTCGTTGGACATTGTTTCGTATTAATCAGTGGTTTTCATATCTTTCTGTTTCGTAATTTATGAATGTCGAAATTATAAATTTTTGATTTACGGTGGAAATTAGGGATCAAAAAAGAAGAGAGGAGAAGTAATAGGAAACAAAACAGAATGACATGGGGAAATTATGTTTTGTTTCTAGGAAGAAAGTACCAGGAAAGTGAACGAGTGAGAGAGAGAGAGAGAGGGAGGGTAGGCGGAGACAAGAAAAAAGGGACTGAGTTTCCCAATGACTCAGTAGACATGCCATCAAAATTGAGGAAAGAACGAGGAACTACAGTATCCGAGGAACGTGAGTCATTTTTTAGTAGGGAACAGTTCTTTATCAACTGTTTCGATGAATGGAATCCGCCTCCTGAACGCAATATACATATTTTTTGAAAGTTGAATGGAAAACCAGGATAAAAAACCGATTTGAGCTCAGTCCCAAATTTCAAATCGTGGCTAACAGGAATAGTCGAGTCTAGACAAGACGTGTTATATATTGCAATAAATCACTGAATTTTAATTGTGTTTCGGAGAAGCTTCACAAATGTCTGAAGGATTTTCTTTCTGAAAACTTTTAATTTATGAAGGACAAGTCAGGATAAGAAACCCAATTCAAAATTAAAATTTGTCTGAAGCATTTGAGCGGAAACACCAAGAAATAGGGTGGACTAAAAATCATAAGAGAGCAGTAGAAACATATGATTACAAGAGGGAATAGAAAAATTCAAATTTGTTTTCTTTTTACTAGCCCCATTATTAAACCTGACAATTATTAGTTGAAAAAAATGAAATCAGGTAGAAAAATGATAATAATGTACTCTAAAAATCAAAAATCTGAAAATACTGGATGACATTCGAAAAATCCAAAATCCAAAATAAATATTTTGAGTTGTTTTTTTTCGGTTCCTTGAAAATTTTTCAAATTTTTTTTCGGGAATTTGAATTTGACCTCTAAAAATGTTTCCGATTTTTCTCGAAAACAAAGCTCATGTTTTGAAACACCGTCGCATAACTAATCAAAACATACATTGTTTTTTGTGACTGCAAAATTTAAATTTTTTGGGGTGTTGGGACACAACATCATGTCTAATTCATAGTTATATTAATTAAATGCATACTTGCGACGGGCCGAACCGGGCCTTCAAAAGTTTGTCAAGGCCGGGAGGCCCGAACAATTGGCGCCAGCTTCGATTTTTAGGAAAAAAATTGTGTATAAGATCTAATTTCATGCTGAATTGCAAATATGGAATTTGTGAATGGTTTTTTTCTAAAAAACTGTTTTTAAAAATAAATTTCGACCAAATAATTTTCTATTCGGGCCTTAAAAGATTCTCACAAGTATGATTAAATGACACGTACCATCCAGAATTGAAAGTATATTTTTTGAGAATTCAGACTTCTTAAAATTTTTTTTCTTTATATTTCGTTTTCTAAGAAGCAGTGAAAATTTAAAAAAAAATAGTCCGGAAAGACCTATTTTTGAGCTTATATATCTCATTTCCTGTGAAAAACGTCAAAAAGTGGTCAACTGACGGAATACTTTTCGTATTATGATAAAAATTGTGTCGGTTGACCAATTTCTATATCGTTCCCTAGAACCGAGAAAATTCAGCTCAGCTTGTTTACGGTACTTCCCTCCCAAAGCTCATTTTTCGCCTTGAAATGTGTTTGAGATTCTCAATTAAAAAATAATTTTTTTTGAAGTCAAGGACCAAAAACTACCTTACAAAAATATTTTGCAGAATGCTAAAAATTTTGATATTGTGGAAAAAAAAACTTAAAAGCTCAGCGGATTCCATTTTTCCCGATCTATATTTCAATTTTCCCCAAAATTCCATATTTTCTCTCTCACTGAAACCATATCTTGATGTGTTTTTGTTTCGAATTCTATTCTCTCAAAAAACCGAAAACCATTTTCCTTTCTTTACACAATAGATCGTGATTTTTCTTTTTTTGAAGACGACGGAAATTTGTTGAAGATGATTTTTTTATCGATTTTCGAATCAATTGGAAAAAATAAGTATCGTTTTATTTTATTAGTGACCTCCGAATTGAAATATTATATCTTCGGATTGGACATTCTCTCTCAATATCTTATTTTCATTTGGTAGGAGAATCGATAATTATTTATTTCTCTTTTTTTGCTATATGTTTCTATTCTCCACCCAAGAAGTTGTAAGTTTCAATTTGTTCAACAAAACCGGTTCCTAGTGATCTTCTCTCTCTCTTTCTCTGTTGTTAATAATTCACTCGAATGGCCTAGCGACTGATAAAACCACATTGATAAGGTGTTCAAAACGAAGAAAAAAGAAAGATTTTACGATCAAAAAATCGTTATTTTTTCCTTCTTTTCTGGTGTTGTTTAGTCACTTGACTATTCAAAAACGGTTTTTTTTGGTTCTCTCCTTTTTCAGTTTTTTTCCTAATTTCCATATCAATGTGGAAAAAGTACATAAAAATGGCAAAGATGACAACAATAGTTCTTTTTTCGCTCATAAATTCTATTTCTATTTTTCCCCCTACTTTTTTTATATTTTCATATTTCTTCGAAAAAATTTAACTTTCGAGGTTTTCTACTCTGTTTTTTCGACATCACCTGTACTCCATTATCCGTCTCTTTCCCCCTATCATCGTGTCTCGCCGTCTAATATACCCCCCGCATCATCATCATCATCATTTGCCTTCTTCTTCTTCTCTTTAGATGTTCTTATTTCTTTTCTTCTTCTTCTTTTTCCTTCATCGCCATCTTCTCGTTCTACACTTTTACAAAAAAAAGGCAAATAGAGCATGTTGGCCCGCTAATTAGCTCGCATTTTTCTGGGAGAGGCATAAAATGAGCGTGGTTTGAGACTAATTCTATTTAAATTTGGTTTTTACTTTGCTATGATACTAAAAAGCGGAATTTTGATCTTTTTTCGGCTGAGAAACTAGTTTTTTTTTGAGATTTTGGGATAATCTTTTGTAGAGATATGATAAGTTCTTGAAAACTTTTTTAAACTTTCACTTTTACTTGAACAGCTACCGAATTTCTTATCAGATTTCAGAATATCTAAATCAAAAATCACAAAATTTTTCCGTATTTTTCCCAAAATTTTTTTTTCTGTTTTTTCTAACTTTTCCTTCTTTCTCAGCCCTACAATTCTTTTTTTCGTTTGGTTGAAAAACAAAAACTCACACACACACAGCCCAACAGAAGATACATTTCTGCCCGCATGTAAGAGCATTTGCTTTTTTTTCTCCTCTTTCATATTCCATAATCCGGCCGTTGTCCTAGGCAACACTCGCATTTCCAAAAAAAAAAAATAGAATTCATTACATTTGAGAAATCAGTTTGTGCTTTAGAAAAGGATTTCTCGGGATTTGCTGACTATTTTTTTAAAGAAGATTAATTTCGAAACCGATGAAGATTCCCCTAAATTAGAGAATCCGCTAAACCGAGCGCAATGCGTTCTTCCGGAGCGTTGTAGTATTTTTCGAAAAAAATTTTAGGTTTTCTGAGTAAGATTCACCCAAAGCGTCTTCTAGCCTGCGATGGCCTAATTTTCTCCACGTGAAGTTTCTAGGCCACCAAGGTTTATTGTCTAGTCTTGAAATTCACCTGGTGTGTTTTCCAGGTCATTTTTTATGGTGGCCGAATTTTCGCGAGTAGAGTCTTTTTAGGCCACTATGGTAAAATGACCTGAGCATTTACTAACATGCCCGTGGTGTGTTTTCTAGGCCATTTCGACGTGATGGCCTAACTTTTGCAATCGGGGTTTTCTAGGCCACCACTTCAAAAAGTACCTAGAAATCACACCCGGTGAATATCAGAGTCTCTAGGCCAAACAATTGGTGGCCTAGGTAATTCAACTTGCAAAAGTTAGGCCACTATGTCAAAATCGCCTAGAAACTTCACTGAGTAAATATTAGGACATTTCTAGGCCATAAAATTTTGGTGGTCTAGAAAACTCAACTAGGAAAAGTTAGGCCACCGCGTTAAAATTACCTAAAATCCCCACCGAGTAAATATTAAGTCATTTCTAGGCCATAAAAATGTTTTTCAACAAAAAAAAATTCAGAAAATGTGTTAATTTTTTTTTTTTTTGAAAAATCATTTGAGCGTAAAGAAAATTACACACTGCTCCTGATCGACTGATTTATTTTTCTCGATAGAGAAATAGGACTTCGGGTGGATAATTATCGAAATATGAGTTTTTATTTAAGTTTTCACTTACGTGAGCTATTTTATGAATTTTCGGCAAAGTAAGCTGAGGTAGAAGCTGTCCTATTTCTGTTGTATATACGTGATATTGGATCTCGCATTTTCAACCCCCCTCATATATCTACCGTAGTCTCATCCAACTAGAAACTGACGTAATGTAACGCCCAAATGGCTCCATTATTTCTTTACGATCTTCCCCCGCACTCCAATCTTTCTAAAAGTCTTACCGTAGTCCGTTGCAGAATCTCCTTTCGTTCCCAGAAAACAAAAGAATCGAGAGCCAGAGAAATTGGTGGCAATAAAAGGGGAAGAACTACTCTTTTCCTTTCAGAAGAAAAGGAAAATGAGCTTTTTTTGGGTTCGTTTTCTCATTTTTCATCTTGTTTCTGAACCACCACGCCTCAACGCTATTTATAAATTGGATGAGAAGCTCAGTCGAGATTTTCGTTTCGCCTCTCGTTTTTCCTTCCTACTCTCATTTTTCTTCGTCCTATTTATTTTTTTTCCTCTTATTCGAGGTGGCATGTCCATCTTTTTTGGCTCTTTTTTTGGAACAAATGTGTACTAGACACCTGTGTTGTAAAAACTACGCTTCCACAAGTCGGGTAGTACTCTTCTTGCAAAGCAGTACACAGTGTTCGAGAAGATCCCGCAGCTGTTTCCTTCCCTCACAAGACTATGGGAAATTTGTTTCGAAAATCTGTTTCCACAGTTGTGATTTTTGTCACGTTTCCCAGCTGCGTCGAACCGCAAAATTTTAGAACCGCAACATTTTAAAACCGCAACATTTTAAAACCGATATTTTAGAACCGCGACATTTTAGAACCACGACATTTTAGAACCGCAACATTATAAAACCGCGACGTTTTAGAATCGCGACGTTTTAGAACCGCGACACTTCAAACCCGCGACATTTTAAAACCGCGACATTTTAAAACCGCGACATTCTAGAACCGGGACGTTTTAGGACCGCGACGTTTCAGAACCGTGATATTTTAGAACCGCGACATTATAGAACCGCGACGTTTTAGAACCCGACCTCAAATCCAAATGTCAGATTCGAATCCTCTCGTGAACGCGTTGTGTCTATATGAGAAGCTGTGTCCTCTTCGAGAGTTGCACTCTCCTTTTTCCTCTTCTCTGCTTCAGTGCCGTCCCTTTTTGTCACCGCCCGGTCCACATTCCAATGGGGACAGAACAGAATTTTTTTTATTTTTTTTGTTTGGTCCCTCTTCATGGTCACGCTTTTTCTTTTGAAGTCTTCTGTACACCACCTGTGGATTATGTTTTAGTTTTTCGGGGCACTCGATTTCCTCCATTTGGCGCCCCTTTCGGCGAATTCAAATGTTTTGGTACATATGCCCACTCGAAGTCTCATTTTTTCTTTTTGAGATTTCCGACGTTTGAAGAGCCACCATGGTTTTTGACCTCCGGTGGGCGATACCTCCGGTGGGCGGAGCTTGGGTCTTTAGGAAGCGTATAAAAAGATTGAATTCGTGAATCGAAAGTCATTTTTTTCCTCGCTTTTTGTTTTCTGATGAAGAACTCTGGAATCCCGAACTTCTGGAATTCCGTTATTCTGGATTCTTGGCTATTTTAGAATTTTGAGCCCATTGACTACTAGAATATAGAAATAGTGGAATCTTAAGACACAGAATCCATTCGTTTTTCAGGGAAGAAAAAATATTAGATGAAAATCAAATCGGAACATTCTAAACTTTGCGTTCTTTCCGTTCAACTCTCCGTAATTCGTTTTATCTCTTTCTTGCTGTTTATACATAATCATTGTTTCAGATTCTAAAACAACAGTTAGTTGAAGCTCATAGCTATCGATTCTACAGGAAGATCAAGGACTCTGGCTGGAATCTAAGAAAATCAGGTGAGTAGCTACAAAACATTGGTTAGAGTTGTTTAGTGCAGAAACTGAGCAGCAGCATTGATGATTGGACTGGCCTTTTCGGAATATTGAACATTTTGGAATCTCGGAATTTCGGAAGATTCCGATTTTGTAAAATTAGGAATTTTGGGTTCTCAGAATATTCCGATTTTGAAAAATACAGAATCTCAGAATTTTCGGAACTATTTAAAACTCAAATTTCAAAGTAGAAATTCCTTTTTTTTTTCATCACAAAAACTTTCAAAACTAGTGAAAATTGACCGAAATATTTCGACCGCGCAAAAAATATCAAAAGTAGTTCTGTTCAAAACTCACAAGCAAATTTTACGCGTGCGCCTCACCTCAGGCAGGAAACATACCGTAGTACGAAAACTTGTAATTCCAAAAAAAAAGTTTTGGAATTATTCCACTCGGAATTTCATTGCGAAGATATCTTTTGAAAATATTCCGAACGGGATTTCATACCGATTTTTTCTCAGAGTCCAATTGGAGTTTTGTTCCGAAAATGTTCCGTCAGAAACATCCCTGGCTCATTCAGCAGTTCATTCAAATATGTATTTTCAGACGATTCTCTCGTTTGACATCCAGCTAGGATGGCCGATCAAGATCTACCAAACTGGCCAGTCCAAGCAAGTGTCGCCAACAATCCGAATCAAGTGGTCCACAGACCAATTCCTCTTATCCCTCAATTCATGATCAACGGGAACCCATTCATGCATCCAAACATTCAATTGGCTCCGACGTTCGAAGCAAATCAACTTGTCACGTGGCATATGCACCAATATGCTCAGCTCCAACAGCAAGTGCACCAACAACAAGTACTCCATCATCGAATGCTCCAACAGCAAACGCAGCAACCGCAAAATCTCGAACTTGTCAGAAGAGGAATATTAATGGCTCCATCCGCTCCAAACGTGGCAGCTATTTTGGGTCAAGGAGCACCAGTAGCCACATCTCAAGCCGCTGTTCTACAATACGACCCGATTCAACAAATTCTTCAACACGATCCGAGTCTGATTCCATTTTTTCTTCAACTACAACTTCAAAACCAACAAGTTCATGGAAATGTCAATAATCAGGTTCTACCGGTCTCTGCTCCCTCAGCCGAGCAATCACCAGCAATGAGTGCCTCAGAAGTCAGCAACTCCTCGCTGTCGCCTCTTGAAGGTACCAATGCAATTGCTGCTTCTGGATTAATTGATGATTCTGAAGCTGATGCTGCTTCTAGACCTATTGATGATGCTGAAGCAAATGCTGTTTCTCAAGCTATTGTTTCTTCGGATGCAATTGGTACTTCTGAAGCTGATGCTGCTCCTGAAGCTATGGATGCGCTTGAAGCAATTGTTGATTCGGAGATTCAGTCCCCACAAGATCCATCTGTCATTAAGTCGTCTTCGGAACATCTGGCGGAGATTGCCGTGACAAATGGTGTCCCAAAAACAGCATCCGAGGAGAGAGGAAACTCTAAGAAGAACCAAAAAAGGAAGGCTGAAGAAGCTGAAATGGAAATTCAGCTCAATGCTGCTTACGAAGGTTAGTTTTTACCAGTGTGTATTTTCGAAAAAAATTGGTCTAACCCTGGTGTGTTTTCTGAGTCATTTTGAAGTGGTGGCCTAACTGCAAATTTGCAGGGTTTCCTAGGCCGTCACTCCAAAGTTGCCTAAAACTGTTTCAACATGACCCTGGTGTGTTTTCTAGGTCATCTTGAAGTGGTGGCCTAACTTTTGCAAATTTGGTTTTCTAGGCCACCGCTTCAAAATGCTCTAAAAATGGCCTGACATGACCCTGGTGTGTTTTCTAGGTCATCTTGAAGTGGTGGCCTAACTTTTGCAAATTTGGTTTTCTAGGCCACCGCTTCAAAATTCTCTAAAAATGGCCTGACATGACCCTGGTGTGTTTTCTAGGTCATCTTGAAGTGGTGGCCTAACTTTTGCAAATTTGGTTTTCTAGGCCACCGCTTCAAAATGCTCTAAAAATGGCCTGACATGACCCTGGTGTGTTTTAATAGGTCATCTTGAAGGTGGTGGCCTAACTTTTGCAAATTTGGTTCCTAGGCCACCCTTTCAAAATCGCCTAAAAATGCCCCAACATGACCCTGGTATAG